GCAAATTCTGCTGGACAAGGAGGTCGTAGAACATCTTCCCTCCCCAGACAGAGAGTCAGGCTGCTACAGCCAATATTTTCTGGTTCCCAGAAATGCCGGGGGGTTGCGTCCAATTTTAGATCCTCGTGGACTGAACCGCTTTCTAAATGCTGGCAATCAATGATTGTTCTTTCAGATCTAATCAGGGGATTGGTTGGTGAGAATTTATGCATACTTTCATCTAGAAATTTTGCCACAATGCAGGGAGTTCCTGGGGTTCACTTTCGTGGGCAAAGCTTACCAGTATTGTGTGCTTCCACCCGGCCAAGCCTTGTCACCCCGCACATAAACAAAATAAATGGATGCAGCATTTGCATCAGCGATTAGCTGATTTAGCCCAGTCAAAAGAGCTTGCGCTTCAACATTGGGACACATGTTGTCACATGTTGTCCTTGCTCATCTAAAGTCTCTAGGGTTGAGACTCAATGCCAAGGAAAGCGTTTTCTTTTTTGCCCAGGGGACAATGCATTTAGGGGTTGTACGGGATTCGATCGCAATGCGGGCACAGCTGTATCCTACATATGTCAAATCCATTCTAAACACCCTGAAGGATTTCAGGCTAGGCCAGAAAGTTAATGTACATTACTTTCGGAAAGTTCTGGGTCTTATGGTGACTGCATCTATGGGAAACCTTTGGGCATCCTGCACATGAGACCATTGCGGTTGTGGCTCAGAGCCAGGGGATTTCATCTAAGGGCCAATCCCCAGAGGTATATAAGGGTTATGTGCTAAGGGCTTCATACACACTCTATGTGGTTCAGACCCCGGTTTCTGACTTTGGGTCCCACTCTAGTCACGTGTTGTCGTCACGAGATGCTAACGACAGACGCTTCCCTTATGAGCTGGGGAGCGGTATTAAATGACCGTCCAGCCCAAGGGATCTGGAGAGGTCATCTTCTCGACTGGCACATCAATTGCCTTGGAATGATGGCTGTATTTCGGGCCATGAAATACATCCTCCAGCAGGGGTGCGGGAGGGCAAGGCTGTGGTAGTCACTTACATAAGCCGCCAGGGCAGACTACATTTGCGCCGCCTGATCAGGCTAGCGCAGCAGGTTCCTTCTTTGGACACGGAACATCATGGAAATTTACATTCTGGGCCATATGAATGTGGGAGCAGATTCTCTGTCCAGAGAAGCTGGGAAACACAGGGAATAGAAACTCCACCCCAAGGAAGTCAGACAAATTTTCAAAGTGGAGGTGGACCCCTTTGCTTCACAGGAAACAGTACAATGTCCCCTCTACTTCTCTCTGACATTCTCCAGCTCCCATAGATCTGGATGCTATGGCCCATATGTGGCCCAGACTGCGTCTTTACACATTTCCTCCGATCGCTCTGCTCCCGGGAGTCCTGGCCTAGATCCGTCAACATGGGTCTCGCTTCTTACTGATAGCGCCCCGATGGCTGACCAGAGTATGGTTCTCAGATCTAATATCCCTCCTTGACGGCTCGCCGTGGGCGATTCCGGTTGGGAGAGATCTTGTATCTCAGGCACAAGGGACAGTTTTTTCATCCCCGGCCTAAGCTCTGGAACCTTCATCTCTGGCCCCTGAGGAGGACCAACGAGAGATGCTGGGCTTCCAGCCAATGTAGTATAGACTATTCTGAGTGCTAGGTCTCCCTCCACTAGAAGAAGTTATGCCCTCAGATGGTGCTTTTTCGAAAGTTGGTGTATGACACACCACGCAGACCCAGTTCACTGCCGGGTTGTTTCAATGCTGGAGTTCCTGCAAGAAAAATTGTCCTCAGACACATGTCCTGCTACTTTCAGAGTCTATGTGGCCGCCGGTTCGGCCTGCCACACTCTAATTGACAGGGTTTCTGTGGGAAATCACCCTCTAGTCGCCCGTTTCATCTGTGGCCATGCAGACCCAGTTCACTGCCAGGTTGTTTCAGTGCTGGAGTTCCTGCAAGAAAAACTGTCCTCGAGTACATGTCCTGGTACTTTCAGAGTCTATGTGGCCGCCAGTTTGGCCTACCACATAGATATAGATTGATGGAGTTTGATGGGGTTTCTGTGGGAAAGCACCTTCTAGTCGCCCGCTTCATTCGTGGAGCTCAGCGGTTGAGGCCGCCCACCAGAGAGACAGTCCCTTCGTGGGACTTAGCCTTAGTGCTCAAATGATCTGTTGGGACTCCTTTTTGAACCACTAGAGTTGGCGCCTGTCAGGTTACTGACTCTGAAGATATTTTTTTTTCTCATGGCTATTACTTCTCTGAGGAGAATTGGGGATTTGCAGGCTCTGTCAGTCTCGTCATCCTGCTTAGACTTTGCCCCTGGGCTGGTCAAAGCTATTTTGCATCCTCACCCTATTATCTTTCAAAGTTCCATTCTTGACCGTGCATCCGATCGTTGTTAAAGCCTTTTGCCCTCCGCCGTTCATGACACTGGAGCAGGAAGGACTTCACTTATTGTGTCCAGGACATGCTCTTCAGATTTACATCCACCGCACTAGCCAGTGGCATAAGTCTGAGCAGCTTTTCATATGCTATGCCATTGGGTGAGAGATGCTATTGCCCTAGCCTACGAGGCACACGGTCAAGCTTCACCTCTAGGAGTTAGGGCCCATTCAACCAGGTGGGTTGCATCCTATACTAAGGCTCTAGCTAGAGTTGTCCCCTTGCAGCAAGCGTGAGGTGCGGCAGGCTGGTCCTCTCTGCACACATTTGTCAGCTTCGATAGTTTGGATGTCCATGCTACTCCGGGCTTCCATGTCCTTGAGTCAACATCCCAGAGTCATGTCTGAGACCTCTTCAATGTTTGTACACACAGACTACACAACCTTGGGGGGTCCAGACACTTCCAGTGCGGCGGCGTTGGTATTCTCATTCCAATTAGCGTTATTGAAATGCAGCATCGAGAGTAGCTTTTGATAGGTAATGTCTCAGGTTACTTGACTGTAACCCTGTTCCCTGAAAAAGTGGGAACGAGATGCTGCGCCTCAATGCCGCACTGTAGGCATGCCTGGACATCTCTTCAGACAAAGGTGTAACCTGAAGATGTGTCTGTTTCACGTCTATTTATAACCCTCAGGTGCACGTAATCAAATGACGTCACCTGCCAAGGTTATTTAAGCCAATTCTTGGCGTGTTTGACACACATGCTTCACAACCAGTCGAACAAAGAATGTTCTCATTAGCGTTATTGAAACGCAACATCTCGTTCCCGCTTTTTCAGGGAACAGGGTTACAGTCAAGTAACCCGAGACAGACTTGAACATATGGCACCTTATGTTGTTATTGTGAGGGACGTGCTTATTTACATGTGTGTGTGGTGTTGAGGGTTGTATATTGGCAAGTCTGTGTTATCCAGACCAGTATGAGCTCTGCCAAGCACAAGGTAATAAAATATTTAAGTTAGGTTTCAATGGGTGTGCCTTTATTTCCGTCTGTCAGTATGCCTTTTGGGATGCATGTGTCTGCAAAAATGTGCGTATGACCCTGTTGCTCCTCAGCGATGCTGGTAGCCACAGTGACAGACCGGATTATGTCAGAGAGAGGGTTTCATTCATATTCATGAACTCGGTCACTATTTTCCTTCTGAGAATGGTCATCTGGTAAAAAGGGCCTTAGTTAAAAACTAACTGCAGATGTAATTACATGCAGCTATTTTATAATGTGTGCCCAATGTAAAAACATGTACGCACACAATAAGTTAATTTTATCAAATTATTTATTTAAATGTCAGTGCATAGTAGTTTAAGACACTTCATATAAAGTGGGTCCGCTTAAGCTATATAATTAATACATAATTATGATTAACCACTCGTAAACTGCACATATAGCTTTTGGGAATGCCTAGTGTGTTTGCGTAATTTAGCCTGAGGGTGGTGCTCTAATGTTGATTGGCAGGCTCCAAGTACACACACGTTATCTTAAAATTACTTTAATGTTACATTTAATGTGTTTGAATGTTTATTTAGAATGCTGAGAGTTGAGGAGAAAATCAGGAGAAGAAAAGAAAGCCATGTCTATTTTTAAAATAAACACAACAGAAAGACTTACAGGCTATACACATGAGCATGTTTAAACTAAAAGATTTATACTCCAACTAATTAGGTACACTGCTCCACACATCCCCCTGCACCTGTTAAAGATGAACAGATGTGTTCACAATGTGATTTATTTGTTGCTGAACTGATGCAGACTGATATACACACGTTGTTGATGTGGATGGATTGTTCCATAAGGTTTATGTAAGGTAATGTAAAAACAAGTGGGGCAAACTGATTTTTGTCCCTATTAATCTAAATTAGGGCGTACTGCATTTCCATTTTTCACCAGATTTACATTGGAAAAGTGTATATTTTTAAATCAACATTTGTTCACTTTGCCCACCATCAAGGATTTATTATTTCCAAAGAGCTTGGTGCAATGCATTGTGGGACTGCACGCTCTACAATGGACATTG